ATTAAACTCTGAAACTCCTGAAATCCCTCACTCAAGAGTTCTTGCTCTGCTGCCGAAAAATACAGAGCGCGCTCCTTCGACATTTTCGCCGACCAATCAAAGGGTTGCCGATCAATGTTTCTACTATTGATTCGTAGCCCCTGTTGGGCCACCCAGTGATCTCACATTACTTCATCCAGCTAAACTAATCGTCAACAACAGGTGTGTTCGGGGAACCGGAATAGCGAGCTCAGAGTTAGCGCGATGATTTGGTCTTGGATGTGTCATTTGATCTTGAATGTAGTAAGCGAGGTATGAAGAACGGACCCCAGGACCGTGACAGAAATGTGTGCTTGTAACAAAGAGTCGTGGCTCACTGAGTGTCTGAATGAGTCTCACAGGCTTGAATGTGTGTTTGAAGCCAGTTATAATTATTAACTTGTTTGATCTGCTGCTCACTGCAAACAAGCACAAGCAGACTTTCAAGTTTTACAGCATTTCCAACAGATAAAAACCGTCCTTATACCCATTCAAACTAATTCATGTCAGAAAAGTTTCTGTTTTCAGTTTGTGCAATAAGCTACAAAAACTTTTTCTGTAATCTTGCACATTTTTCCCCACTTTGGTTCAGAGTCATGCTGACAGCAGCTTTTTCTTCATCATGTAGAAAAACAGTTAAATATGTAACTTCTTTACACTGATGGAAAATGAGTTTGACACCCCTGCTTCACACTGTTCATAGAGAGCTGCTCTGTGTTTTCACATGATCTAAATATTTATCAAAGTCAGATTTATAATATGTGATGTATAACTGTGTGTTATAGGGAAAACAAGGTTGAGTCTGGAGAGAAATAACAGAGTAACAGAGATTAATGAAATATTACACAGACATAAAGAATCATATTTTTAAAATCAGTCACTCCTGTTAAAGATATTATTAGAATATGTTTACAAATCTCTAAATGACATTTACCCTGCAATAATTTCTTATATCCAGGTTCTTCCTCTTTGCTGCCATCCTCCTCGCAGCGCAGGTTTGCAGCTGCTGAAACTAAACGCAGCTCCCTGAAAGGCACAGCCAATCACATTGGCCATATTTGTCACATGACGTAGGACTCCAGTAGAGAATTATTTATTTATTTAGAACTAATTTAACTCTTTCTGCACCACTCGCTGAATGAGAAGCTGACAGATCGTTTTTTTTTTCTTACTATCGGGTTTGTTTTCCTTTACTCGAAGAGATCAAATTATTGGTGGGGACAATTCAATAATCGCTGAATATTGGTGGGGACGCGTCCCTTCCGTCCATGCCAAATCGACGCCCTTGATCCAAAGACCAAAAGTCAAGATGCTCGTCAAACTTAAAAAAAAAAAA